GAAAAAGCAATCACTTTCTTTCGTAGAAAAAACAATTCACTTCCATTGTAAATAAAAGCAAGTATTTATATAAACACTACTTTTGGGCCAATTCTTGGGATAATATGTGTCTTTGAAAACAGAAAGAGATTAATAGACATGGTTAACAATTTATCTTAATAGTCATTTTTAACATAGTTCAAACTTTTCTAGTCTGGCCTTTATGTAATAAAGGAATAAGAAATTAAAAATGAAAACAAAGTAGGAGAAAATATAAAATAAATTCAGAGTGGATTAATTCCACCCTCTCTCAAAAAAAAAACCCCTCATATTTAATACTAAGAAACAGTATTTTCTATCCCTTGTTGATCTCAAAATATGGATCAATTAGCTCTAATTTTGTAACATGAAAGAGAATCACAATAACAGAAAGGATTTCAAAACTGATTTTCAAAAATATTTCTGGATTCTTTTAGAACACATTGATATACCTACAGATTACTGTATTTGAATGTACCATAATAAAAGGCATTCTGAAATAAATGTATGCTGTAAAATTAACTGACCCAACAGTTTGCCCAAGTGTTTAGCTGTTTGAAAATTTAATGGCCAGTCTACTTAGTTGTTTTTTGATAAATAAAAAAGAATGGTTAGAACAAGTAGTTTGGGAAAAAATTATCTATCTACAAAAATGAGTTTTCTTCCAGTCATCATTTACCTCCAAATAACAATGAATCAAACTGAAATGAAGGAACAGAGAAAGACAGACGTTACATTTTTAAAGAAGCTGCTACTAACCTAGACAAAGGGATAAATAAGTAGGTAGCTAAATTACGTGTATGTAGATAGCTATATATACCATACAGATTTATACCTTCTAGAAAGTCTGACATTTGATGAGAAGCCTGCCACCCTTCTCTCACCTAATAGCCCCTTATCCCTTTTTAGCTCATGGAGTGTTTTCACTTAATTACCTCTATACCTACAAGTAAAAGTATTTTATATGTAACTGATAACTGATAACAGATGCACTTTATAAGAAAAGTTTTATGAATGGAGGTAGGCAATAATACACTGTAAGTTTACAGTCAGATTTCACCTTCTACCAATTATATTACCCTACAGCTTGTTGCTATTACAACTGATTTGGTGTGTAAGCAAACTTAAGCAAGTATTCTACCTTTGCGTTCTTTAGGGTTCATTAACCCTTTCACGATGGTTAAAAAATTATTTTTCACTCTTAAAATGGCTTGTATTTTCCTTACATTTAAAAGCTTATGACAAAAATAACCATCAAAATTCTGTCCTCCTAAAATCATACATATCACAGGTATGTGATGGTGTGCAAATTCTAAGCAGTTTCTGGCCTACCCTCTAGGAAATGGTCATCTAAGACTGACAATATACAGACAGAAGGACGTGTAGAGAAAGAAGCCAACTTTTACCTCAATATCAACCAATCAGAGAATTGCGCATGAGTGATCATGTACCCTGTGATCCTCCCTCCATCACCCGGCCTTTAAATATGCTTTGCTGAAACCCTTTGGGGAGTTTGGAGTTTTCTTGGGCATAAGCCACCCTGTCCTCCTTGTTCAACCCTGCAATAAACCTTTCTCTGCTCAAAAAAAAAAAAAAAAAAAGTCAACTAACCGAACATTCTACTTCCATCAGATATGTACAGTCACTAACCGAACATTCTACTTCCATCAGATATGTACAAAGTACAAACTGAAATTAATTAAATATGTTGAAAAGCACAAGTGTACTTCTGAGGGATTTCTAACATTACAAATAAGCCAGTACTATCATCTCTAAATCCATATACACAAGCTCATCCAAAATGAAACATCAGCAGCCACTAAAAATCTATAATATTTTAATAAACAAATTACATAGTAATTTAATTGAATAATAAACAGTAAAAGTAATTTAATAAAAATAAATAA